ATGTAATCTAAATGAAAGTAACGGGAGAGGGTAGATTTTAAATAATTATTTGATTTACTATAGCAAATTAATTTGTCATTTATCTATTTATCTTGCGATTAGCGCGAAAGATAGCGTTAAACGAAGAACTTTTCGTCGACCATTATTTTCGACGATGTAAAATCTTGGGGTGCAATCTCAGTTTTCCGCAAGCGTCCATAAAGTTCGTTATCGCACTTGCAGAACTTCACTGTCGCCGAGGAAAGGGTGAAAACGTGGGAGGAAATGACAGAGAGGGAGAGGTACGAGATGCTTTGTCGCGGCGAAGTATCTATTCCGTCGGAGGTGGAGAAGAATCTTAAGTGCCGTTACGTCGACCGTGGAATTCCCTTTCTGAAGATCGCGCCGTTCAAGGAGGAGGAGGCGTATTTGGATCCGAGGATAGTTGTTTATCACAACGTGATCTACGACGAGGAAATCGAGACGATCAAGCGAATGGCTCAGCCTAGGGTAAATAATTGCGTTTACCAGAAATTATCACCCACTGAGAACGTCTCCTCTGAGACGCCGTGTACACCGCCTGTTTCCGCGCGCCGCGAAATTACAGGAATTCCTGAAGATAATGGCAATTACGTGTTGCAGTTTAAGCGCGCCACGGTGCAGAATTACAAGACTGGTGCCTTAGAGATAGCGAATTACAGAATCAGTAAGAGCGCGTGGCTCCAGGAACACGAGCACAAGCACGTAGCGGCGGTGAGTAAACGCGTGGAGCACATGACAAGTATGTCTGTGGAGACGGCAGAGGAACTTCAGGTTGTTAATTATGGCATCGGTGGTCACTACGAGCCACATTTCGACTTTGCGAGGGTAAATTGACTATAAGAACCAATCAAAGTGTGCCCTTCTGCAGCTATTTGCCATCTGTTAATTAACTCGATCCACTTTACGTTTACAGAAAGAAGAAACGAATGCGTTCAAGAGCCTCGGAACTGGTAACAGAATTGCAACGGTTCTGTATTACGTAAGTTTCAATTCTGATTTGTTACACGCTGACAGCTCGGGACGATGTAACATTATCTCATTATTTACAGATGAGCGATGTCGAGCAAGGAGGCGGTACCGTATTTACCGCTATAAACATATCACTTTGGCCGAGAAAGGGTAGCGCGGCATTTTGGCATAATCTAAAGCCTAATGGTGAGGGGGATTTTAAAACTAGACACGCGGCTTGCCCCGTACTTACAGGATCGAAGTGGGGTACGTTGTTAAAGCATTCTTAAAGTTTAATATTTTATTTTACAAATATTATATTACACAACTTTTTTTTCAGTGGCAAACAAATGGCTGCACGAAAGAGGCCAGGAGTTTCACAGACCATGCACGTTAGAGAATCAGGCGACAGACGAAGTGGACATTAGGCACTGAAGAGAACATTCCTCGACAGTGACAGAAGAATAGATGAGGCACGATAAATAAGATAGAAGAAGTACTAAGAAATACTTCAAAATTCCTTTAAATAATGAGACATTTTATTCTCGAAACGGCGATTCCGTAAGGAAGCGCGCGGTAGGAATTGTCATTTAAGAACGAGTGAGAACGTTTCGGTCTGTGTGCAAAAAGCGACAGTGCAATTTAACATACGTAGGCAAACTGCGAGAACGTTATTCGCGTTTGTATGAAAGAACGTCACCAGCGCATACAATTCGCGTAACTTAACATTCATGCCGCAGACTTGTATGATGATCTTTCTTGTTCATACATTGTGGAACATAATCCCTCGCATTACGACAGCGACTAATGTTTCTTCGAGATACTCAGCTGCAGGCGAAAATCAGTAAGAAGCAACAGAGACTACCCGAGCGAGATTAATCGGCCGCATTGTTTCCCGTGCGCTTCTTCCCTTTGAAACGGAATTCCCGTGAACTGCCGTGAAGCAGAGATTGCTGCCACGCGAATCGCGGCAATTGCGATGTAACAAAGTTACTCTTTACGGAATGGATCTGCACACACATTCTGTTTGTAGTCCGATCCAGCGTTGTCTGCAGTTCGTCACCTTGCAGTTTACGGCGAATGTAACGTAGAGCAGTTGTTTGGAGTTAAATACGTAAGCCGAAATGAACGGCGAGTATAAAGCGGAAAAATAAAAGAACAGGCCTCAGTAACTCTTTCGCTCGAACGAAATAAATGAAAGGGGGGAAAAGGAAAAAAAGAAATAAAAACCGTATGGTTGCACCGATTCGTTACATGTGGAGTTTTCGCCGTTTAAACGGGCTTTCCGTGGCGAAAACGAGATTCACTCCGCCATTCGCTCTCAAACTCGTAACGTTAATTATTTCTACGAGAAAATACGCTAATAAAGATATTACACTACGCATCATAGCCAAAGCAATAATAAATTGCGCACGTTCTGGCCAGTCTCCCCTTATCGTAATATATAGTGCGATGTAGAATACCGAAGTAACCATTAGCCCGTAGAGTAATTGTAATTCGAGCGTGATCGTTAACGCGACAAAGTCGTATCTCAACTCTGACATTATCGTGCAATAACGAGGTATTTCCGCCAAGATGTTCCAAGACCGAGAATCTTCTTTCGCGACGGATCGTATTCGTCGACTGTAAATAGCGGATGGCACGTTGATCTTGTATCATCCGATCCTTCTGATCAGGCTGTATACGAATTGTTTGTATAAAGGTGGATGACGCTGTTTGACGATGTTCGACGACGACGGTGCGCTTAATGGCGATGTAACATACGAGAATAAATCTTACACGACGTTGTATTTAAAATCATCCTATAGCGGTGCTTAAATTACAGTTAATTTTATTTTAAACGATAGAAAAAGATTTGCATTATTATCATGGTGGAAGAATAATGGTGTGCACAATTTGCAAACGATTTCGATAAAAGCCTAAGAGCTGCCAACTATGGCTGCGTTCAGCAGACGAATCATAAAACTATTGCAAAACTCAGCAGTTTTGCAATAGTTTTATGATTCGTCGCGTTGATTGGTTTATACTTTTAGATTTAAAGGAATAGTCCTATCTCAGCGAAGAATCACAAAACGGTTGCAAAACTGTTGAGTTTGCTGAACGCAGCCTATGAAACGCTAAACATGGAGCGATATTCATAGTCCGTTTTTATTTTAAAACTGTTTTAAATAATGTCTTAAGATGCTAATACAGTCCTCGGATTGACTTATGACATTTTAAGATTGTACTTAAGACAGTCTTAAAAGCAAAAATCGACTATGAATACCGACCTGTTTCGCGTTGTGAAATTGGTACTGAATTTTCCTTGTCTAACACACTTTATATTTCTCTTTCTATAGAAATAGAATCTAAGATACATTATGATGTGTGTTAAACAAGGAAAGAAGCATTGGACTTATAGATAGAGATTCATAAATAGAGAGGTCGGAGATTCAGAGAAGGAAGGTTGCAAACTGTGCACACCATGATATCTCTTCCACCATGATTATTATACGAGATATAGCGTGATAAAAAAAAATAAAATAAAAAAGAACCAAGTCCGAGAAATAATCCTGGAAAATTGCGTAATTACTGGATTTAATTTTCTTCTTTTTTAAATACTTTATATATATATATATATATAATGCAGTACAAATTATTTATTTCTTACATGCTGCGTTACTAACAACATTTATATAAGTTTTATTCGTTGAAAATTTGAGAACCGCTGCCCTATGAAATTTGTAGACGGTCGTGAATGGTTTTCCGAATCGATTATTAGTATTTAGTACCAACTAGTAATCAACTCGAATATGCGAAATATTGCTCCTAATCGAGATTCCAGTGATAAACGTGCGCGAAGACTGATGTATCGATCGATCAGTACAACTCTACTGCGTATATATTATTTTAAAATTATGCTATATCTCGATAAAAAAAATCATTTGGTTCGATGAAAGTTCCACGATAGTAGCCCTATTAACTGTTAGGATCACATTTACTGTACTCATCTCTAGAATCATATATGACGCTTCAGAATTCATGTTAAAACAGCTTACATACGTCAAATTTTTAAATTTTTTTGAGATGTTTTCTTAGCGTTGATTGATTTATTCAGATATATCAGTTTGATTACTTTTGTCGATGTTATAATTATTTATATACAATTTAAAAATTATGATGTTAATCTTTGCATATATTATGAAAAAGAATTATATAATTTATAATTCTTTTTTAGCTATTTTGTATAATTACAACTTGAATTCTTTTATATTAGATACATTTATTTAATTATCTGTAAAAACTCGATTTTAAGGACCAACTCGTTTTTGTCACAATTGACAAAAATGCGTACGTTAAATAAAGAATAATTTAAATTGACATTGAACTTTAGTTAGGAAATAAGTCTCGATCTAAAGGACACAGTTATTTGCTACTTTTAGAAAAAATTGCAAAAAAAGTTTTCTACCAGTAATCTTGTATATATCACTTTGCGAAATGTTATGTCACTTACGTCATTTAATATGGAACAATTATATAAAGAATAAGCAGAGAATGAATTATAAGATTAATAGCGACGAAAAATTAATGCAAAAACAAACACAGTTCCGATCGCCTTGTTGCGAACGACTGATATCTATATCTAATTGTGATCACCATCGTTTTGTTAAGAAACGAAGAAAGTAAATAAAATGAAATGCATCACAGAAACACTGTTGAAATCCCGACGAAGCATATGTCGGATCATCCCTGCCTATTTCTCCTTTTCTTTGAATTAACACTTTTTCTTTAACATTGTTTTTAAATGTAACATACATCCTTAAATAATTTACATATTGATTCCTAATTGTCAATATGTATATAATTTTCATGCCCATAAAGTGTAGATATCTCGGAGAAATAAATAAAATGCCAATATTACCGACCGTTTTTACTATCGAATGTAGTTAATTTTTTTCGTGTCAGAATATTATCGTGCGATTAATTGATATCCTGTTACATTTTTTTTTATTACTTCTCTTTCATTTCTTTCCAATGTTTCAATTTTATATCTTAATATTTATTTCATTTTGGGTACAGAAAGTGTAACAACTGCAACAAAGTGCAACTAGACTTGTGATCATCTGATTTCAAGGCGCGGATAATTGGGGCTCGGGCTCCTTTTCACATACCGGATCATATAATTGGAACTGATTGAAACAATCATAATTGAATCACCGCACAAATGTAAGATTAATATATCTTATATACAATATTGCGCTATGCGGCGTATAGAAATAATTAAATATAAGATATTTAGAGGTTAGGCAGAACCGTCCAACGTCGATTCCAGGTTAGTGTACTTGCGTGTTTATTTTTCGTAGAAATAAAAGACCATTCGATTCCACATGACGTCCGCTATGATGATTGCTCGCGTTAGCCGCTCCGTTCTCCACATGTGCAAGCGAAATAAAAGGATCAGTAACCATCAGCGATACACAGTTAGACACAGTTCGACCCAAGTCAATGGCAAGACCTTAGAACGCTTGATTGACAGGAGCATACTGCGCGTAAGCGGTAACGAAGCCTCTTTCTTCCTCCAGGGATTGATTACGAATGATATGAAACACCTCGACGAAGGGGCGCCTAGCATCTATACTTTGTTTCTAAATATCCGAGGCAGAGTAATGTGCGATGCTATTGTATACAAGAGTGAGGAAAGCAACTTGTATTACGTAGAATGTGATTCGCAGATTGTTGATTCCTTACAGAAACACCTGAAGATGTATCGAGTGAGACGAAAAATAGATATAAAACATGTAGGAGACAAAATCAATGTCTGGTCGATGTTCAGTTCCATCAAACATCTCGATAATGGAGCTGCGACGAACGAGACAGAAAAGTTCAAGTTGGAAGGAATGATATTTCCATGTGGCACGTTTAACAGTAAAACCAGCAAGTTTGTCGACAACGTTATGATATACGAAGATCCCAGATTACTTGATCTTGGCCTTAGAATTCTCGCCGAGTCACAGATTAGTAGAAACGAAATAATTAAATATCTAGACGCTGATATAGCTCCATCAGAGAGTTTTGGAGACTATAAGGCGTTTCGATATAAATTAGGAATAGGGGAAGGCATGCATGATCTACCACCTGGGAAAGCATTGCCCTTAGAAATCAATTGCGATTATTTACACGGCGTTAGTTTTCACAAGGGCTGCTATATTGGCCAGGAATTAACTGCGCGAATATATCACACGGGTGTAGTCAGGAAACGCCTAATGCCTTTGTTATTTGATAACGTTATAGATAAACCGTTTGCGTATGATGAGAAAATTCTTAACGAATCTGGCAACGCGGTAGGAAAGTTCCGAGGATGCGTCGCTAAGTACGGATTAGGCTTGATGCGTATAAATGAATCTCTTGGTGCCCGACAGCTTAATGTATCTGGTATGAATGTAAGGGTAGTAAAACCTACATGGTGGCCTCAAGAATTACAAAAAGAAATGGTTTTTGCCAAAGATACAAAGTAACATTAAGATGTTTTTAAATATCATAAACTTGTATAGAAAATAAATGTATGCGTGGAATATAAAATTGTAATATATTTATACAAATAAAATAAATTTATACCCAAACTCGATAACATATTGAGTGGTTTCTGTTTCTTGTTGCTTTATAGGAAGGAGGATCTCGTTGACACATCAGCAGGCAAACCTGGTATCAGTGAGCAGATGCAACAGGATGCTTCTACGAGTCAACAGACGGCAATGAACGTGGGTGGCACTTTCACATGTTCTTTTTGTCTTTTAAAGGAGCGCTATGATTATAAAGGTACAAGGCCACCATTCGCTCGGCAGTTCGTTTATTCAGAAGAGTGTTATATTATGAAAGATCCATTCGGTTTACCAAATAAGGGCGAAGTCTTGGTCTTGGGCGCCGATTGCAGTGTGTGCGAACACGCGGTATGCCTAGGATGTAGCTTATTTTACAAAAGACGTTTCTGTTCAAAGTGTGCGTTCAGTAACATGCAGCATTTACCACCCCAGTTACATGGTAAAATCAGGAATTTAACAAAACAAGCAGATTCTTGAAAACAATGTAAATGTCTTGTCAAATGTTATTTATTAAAAAGCAGTGGCAGTTACATTATAACAGCATGTGAGGAGGTATAATACATTGGAGGTATTCTCGTTTACATCTATGTGTGATCAGTTTTAATGAGAACTGTAGTATCCCTTGTAACATTGTCAATATCTATTTTTTTTCTTCAGTATTAAACAAACATGTGTATCAACATATTTTTGAAAATAAAAATTCGCAATTATCTAATCAAACCATGAAATATATGACGATATTAAATTTCTACAGATTATAATCCTTCATTACAATGCCAATACTTCTTTTAAAATTAAATGAACGTTCGAAAAATATCTTTGATTATAAAAAATCATTTAAAAAATTACGTAATAAGTATGTCTAAGAATTCATAAAATACGATAATATTAACTTAATTTTTTTTAGTCTTTTTAGATTTGGCTACAAGCTTTTCTGCCATTTTCTTCTTTTTCTTATCAAGTTTGTTTTTCTTATTTTTATTTTTTAACTCGACCATTTGACCTTGAAATGCAGTAAACGTTTTTTTATCTCCCTCTTGCTTTTTATGCTTCTTAACGTTTCTTTCAGATTCAACCTAAAAAGAAGATAAAAGAATTTACAACATTAATTCTATCTTTACTTTTAAGAAATGTAGTTCTTTATTTGAACAAAATCTGCAATGTACTATATTATCAAAAGATTTGCAATAAACGTATTTACGAATAGTTCAAATATTTACATTAGCAGGTTCTCCCGAACTCTTCTTAAACTTTTTTGATGATCGATTATCAAGAGTTCGCTGTCCATAATCAAGAATTGCTTGATTCTTTCGCTGCATTTCTCCTATCAAACTTTCAACAGATGTATTCTCATGATAGGGATATGGTACCACTTTAATTCGCCATCCATGAAATTTTTCATTGTTATAATCAAGAGCTATCTTTGCAGAGACCGTATCAAAAAAGGAGACGTAACCAAATCCTCTACTTAGCCCCGTTACCGGATCACGTACGTTTCGCATACGGTCTATAGTTCCACATCGTTTAAATATTTCCCATATAAAATTGTCAGGCATTGCTGAAATATTAAAAAACATCATTCCATTATTATTCTCCATGCTATATAATTGCGACAATTGACCAACAATGATTTATTATACGTACTACTTTTTATATTTGTTATATATACAGCATGCTCAGGCTCTAGTTCACTTTTATCAGCAGTTACTACATTTAAAAAATTTCCATCGATCTTCGTTCCATGCATAAGCTTCATTGCTTTCCAAGCGTCTGATGGTTTAAAATATAGGACATTTGCTGAGTATGTTTCTAGATGTGGATAATCCTTATTTAGCCATTCCAAAACTCCTACATACTTCTGTTCTTGTGAATTAAGAAAGAATGCTGGATAAGGTCTTGCTTTAAATAACTCGATTTTTCCATTTTCCTCACACAGTTTTATTATCTCGTCAACAGACGTTGTTTTTGGAATATTATCAATGACAACAATTCTTTTTGCTAGATCGTCTCTCTCGTTAAGTGTTAAGTTAAATTTTTTCATAATACTGTTCTCATTTTCATTGGCTTCCCTTTTTACATCATCATTCTCACTGTCTTCTTCACTACTAATATCGTCTTCATCACTAGTATCTTTATCTTCTTCATTAAAATCTTCATCTTCATCGTCGTCTGCAATAGTTTGCTCCAAAAGTACTTTTGTACCTAATTCTGCATCCTCGTCATCGCTATAATCAGTAGTATCATTGGAATAGTCATCTGAATCGGAATTTTCCAATACAGTAGAATCGAATTCAGCGTAATTTTTGATAATTCTAATCTTAGGTTTTTCAATGTGATCATCTTTCTTTTTCTGCTTTTCCATGTCTTTATCTTCATCTTCATCTGTATCATCCTCGTCATCATCTTCATCACTCTCAGTTGTATTTTCATTACTTTCAACTTCATCATCCTCCTTTTGACCTTTCTTATTTTTCTTGGTTTTAGATTGTAAACCTTTAAACATTGTTACACCTTTACACTCACTCATCTCTTCTTCATCACTGTCATCATCGTCCATCTCTTCTTCATCAGAGACATCATCATTATCCGTGTCTTCTTTTTCCTCTTCATAATCTTCATCTTCATCATCTGATTCTTTTAAGCTCCTGTCAAAAATATCTGGGATATCTGAATCGCTTTCAGATGTTTCATCTGATTTATTTGAACTATCATCCTCACTTTCAATGGTGTTAGAATTAGATTTATCCAATTGCTTTTCCATCTTTTTAGAGTTGAAAGTCTTCTTACCAATTTTTTGTGCTTTGCTTGAGTTTGTGCTTTGCTTGAAATTTTGTTTTTTATTTGGAAAATCTTGTTTTGATTGCTTCGCTACTGCATTACCACTTGGAGAAGCCTTTTGATCCCAATATTTCTTCGAAATCTTGTTTTTATTTGGAGCAAGCTCTTGATCTGAAGATTTATTTCCAGAGGAGACTTTTGGGGAAAGCTTTCGAGAAATTTCTATTGAATTGTTGATTAAAGCTACCTTACCTTTGGGTGTATTTTTGAATTTGGAATCTTTGTTCTTCTTTATAGAACCACCTTTTATTTCATGCAACTGCTGTTTTCCTTTATTTGCATTATGCTTCAATGCCTTTGCCTTACCCATTTTTTCTTTCTATAACAATAGTTTTCTTCCTGTAAGAAAAAGATATGATTATAGGGAAACTTGGGCATAGGTGATAAGATAAAAAGATAAAGATTAAAAGATAAAAGAAATAAAGAGATAAAGAGATAAAAAGGTAGAAATAAAACCAAATATTTGTTGGATGAGTCAAAAATTCATGCCCAATTTATGATTAAAAATTCAAGCAGTTACAATTTCATTAAAAATAAACGAAATTTAAATAAAAATGGGTTGTTAAAGCTTAAAATTTGTACTTTCAAAAGGTCACTGGTTTTTTAATCTATGTGAATTTGATAAATACTACATATAAGGCACATTCCACTACATTCGCAACACTCGGGAGCATCATTTCATCCTTGTTTAATATTTGAAAACGATAAAGATGAATGATGTTCGCAAACATTGCGAATGTTAAGTGGAACGCATCCATAAAATACTACAAATTGGACAAAATAGTGATTTTTTTCTACTTTGTGGCCTTGACACAACCAAAAAATTTGCCAACATTTTTTACTTTCTAACGTGAACTGAAAGTTTCTACGAAATCGTTTTTTAAATATAAATCCTAAATTTTGTTACCGAGTTATCGCAGATTAAATAAAAAAAACTATTGATTTCAATTGTTCATAAAACCTGACCTACAATGTACTTTTTGTTTCTTATTTGTTGTTTTTGGTTATTTCTTACATCTTGTCTTTTACCTCTTATCCTGTTTTTCGTTTTCTGTCGCAAGAGATCAAAATTAACGAACTTTGGAAGAAACATATGGTAAAAAATAAAATTATCAATAAAACTATTACATAGAGGGAAAGAAGCAAGAGGTAAAAAGCAAGAAACAGGAAACAAAGAGCAGATCGTAGATTAGGCTTAATTCCATCAAAAATGAAACATTAAAATCGAAACTTCGAATTAAATCAAATAGTAGAATTGCCGCCAGAAAATATTGAGTCACAAATTTACATACAAATTCGTTTGGAATCGGCCACTTTTGCACTCATATACATGAAAAAAAATACTCAAGATGTATAAAAATTAAAGATATCTTGGATTCTTCCCATAATCGATATACTGAAAGTTTTGTGAATCTCAGTAAATTATCAAATTTCACGATTATCAATTTAGTAGGTTATAAAGTTTTTCAAATCAAAATATTGAACAAATATCTCAATATATCATCGATAACGGACAACAAATGTGATCTTATATATACATAAAAAAATAATACAAATAATCGAAAAGATCACATTGGCTTGTAACGAACTTTCAACGGTTGCGAATCCACGCCACGTAATGAATATGAGATACAGTTAAGGATATTGAAATGAATATTTAATTGAACAAATAAAAAATTGCACCGTAAAATATAAATATTTTCTAATCGCTATAAATGGTTTACCTCCGCTAATCAAAAAACTTCGATTTTTCGAAAACACCTCGATCAATTCGAATCGGTATTCGTGCCGTTCGTACGTCTGTTTCGTTGCCTGTTGTCGAAAGAAATGGAAAGAATGCGACATCCAATCCAAGGGTCAAGGGAAACAAGAATTAAAAAAAATTGAAAAGAAAGCGTTGGTGATGAGAGCGCCAACTAGTGGTGCTGTTTTTTAACAATTGAATCGATTCTTGAGAATCGATTTAGAAATGGGCGATATCCTTATGTTGGATTCACCCTGCATCCGTTGTGCGTCATACGACGCTCTGCAACCAATCAGAAAACAGGATTCCGATGGATTTGGTTTCGTATCATCGGAATTCTGTTTTCTGATGGGTTGAATCCAGCAAATCTAGCATATGCTTTTAGATCAAGAGGAATGGTCCTATCTCAGCAAATAATGGCTGCGTTCAGCAGAAAAAGCAGCTTTGCAACTCTGTAAAATTCTTTAATATGATTGGTTTATACATTTAGATTCAATGAGGAACTAAGAGCAAGACCAATCATTGAAGAATTTTACAACAGTTGCAAAGCTGCTTTCTCTGCTGAACGCAGCCAATCATAAAACGGTTGCAAAACTATTGTGTTCTGCTGAACGCAGTCAGTAATCAGTTTACGTCAGTGAGTTTTTAGTATAATTTTATATGATTTCCTGTGATACCATAAAATACTTCTGTGATACAACGAAAATGCTAAACGAATATGACGCAAAATTGATGGAAGTTCATAATTTCTGCAAAAGCATATACTTAAATTTAACTTGTCATTAATTTATCATTTTATTATGCAATTGTCTATTTATTATACAAGTTATCAAGGTTAATTTATGCTTAGCGCGATCGTTTGACGAGAATTAATCTTCAGTTATGCAAATGTAGTTTAACATGTCGACTACAGCGAAAAAATGTACATCGAGGAGTTAAACAAATTTTCGCCATTACGAGAAGTGCGATAGAGTCCAAGGGATCGCGCTGTCACCGTGATATTTCTTCAAGAACCCAATAAATTTTGTATCTACTCGAGCAACGGAATCATGGCTGTGTCAATAAATGAAATTTGCGAGAACACGAAGCTCGCGCGTGAGATGGCATTGATGGGAAACTATGACACGTCCGGTGTCTACTATCAGGGGGTCGTGCAGCAGATACACAGATTACTCGCAACCATAGCGGACGCAACTCGCAAGGCAAAGTGGCAGATAGTGCAGCATCAGATCGTCGAAGAGTTTGAGAAAGTGAAGGCCACATCCAGCACGTTGCAACTTTTCAAAGTGGACACACATGGCGAGAGGCTGCTCGGTAGCACAATTAGGATAGAGTTCATCCAACAATAATTGGAATAATGTCAAGCTGATTTAACAAGTCTACAAATTTCAGGAACATCCTGCTTATCATTCGAGGAAACTACACGAGATCCTGCTCTCTGGGCTTACAACAATTCAGATTCCTCTTGGAATCAAACACAGCCTAGGGATCCTGATGTGTGGCCTCCCTTAACTCCAGCAGAACAAAAGTATCAATATTGATTTAAATTTATAATACTTTATTACCTATTATATAATTTGTGATAAGTTCAAACTTTTTTCTTCCAAAAAATATTTCTAGTTTTTTCTTTTCTCTTTTTAATACTGATATATATTATTGTTATATAATTATGGAAAGAATATCTAATTACTATTACATCTTTTTCAGAAATTCAAGACAGCAAAAAATTCAGCAACAGAAACAACAGAATCGTACAAATACTAAAAAATCTCTTGCTACGGCTAAAAAGCCAGACAGTAAGACTTCTGGTAAAAAAGATGATAAGAAAATTGCAAAAAAAGACGATGCAAGCAAGGTAACTTACTTTATTTTTATTAATTATATTTTATGCTCGTAATATTGCTAATATTAATATAAGTTATGTAACATTATATAACTAATAATTTACAGGATAAGTCAGAAACTGAAAAAGATGATGTTGAATTAGAAGAACGTAAATTTGAACCATCTGCTAATGATAAAGATCTTGTAGAAATATTAGGTAATGATATTACTCTGTCATTTTCATTAATATCATTATTCACAAATGTATAACGATGAAAATATAAAAGCAAACGTGTATGTTAATATTTAGAAAGAGATATTGTTCAAAAGAATCCAAATATCCATTGGGACGATATAGCTGATTTACACGAGGCAAAGCGGTTGCTGGAGGAAGCAGTTGTACTTCCAATGTGGATGCCTGATTTCTTCAAGGTATATTTTCTTTTTTAATTTTAATATGTTACAATAAAATTTTGTCTATATTAATATATATAATATTTTTAGGGGATTAGGCGACCTTGGAAAGGAGTATTAATGGTTGGACCACCTGGCACAGGCAAGACTATGCTCGCAAAGGCTGTTGCAACTGAGTGTGGCACAACGTTCTTCAATGTCTCGTCCTCTACATTGACATCGAAATATAGGGGTGAATCGGAGAAACTTGTTCGATTGTTATTCGAGATGGTAAAAAAATTAAAACATAATCCGTATAACTGAATAAAAAAAATTTCTATAATTGAAAGAAATGTAACGTCCATTTACGATACCAATATATTTTGTTATTTATATAGGCCAGATTTTATGCGCCCAGTACAATTTTCATCGATGAAATTGATTCTCTGTGCTCCAGAAGAGGATCTGAATCTGAGCACGAAGCTTCACGTCGTGTAAAGTCTGAACTTCTTGTTCAAATGGATGGAATAAGTTCCAATAGGTAAAACACTGTATAATGCTTTTACTTTTGTCATACAAATGGATACTAAAGATCCCTGTTTTTTATAGCGAAGATCCAAGTAAAGTAGTAATGGTACTAGCAGCAACAAATTTCCCATGGGATATCGACGAGGCTCTAAGGAGACGCTTAGAAAAACGTATCTACATTCCATTGCCGAATCGTAAGTCTATTAAACTTTATAAGTCTTCAATAAGATGTAGTGTATCCTTAATAATAAAATATGTCTTATTTTGTTTATTGCAGATGAAGGCAGAGAAGCATTGTTAAGGATAAATCTTCGTGAAGTTAAAGTAGATTCGTCTGTAAATCTCACAGATATTGCAAGAAAACTGGAGGGTTATTCTGGTGCGGATATTACAAATGTTTGTAGGTGAGTAGAGTTTATTAAAATATAGTTTACAACGAGTCTCGAACCTACTTACCCGCGTTTGTTACAGGGATGCTTCCATGATGCTAATGCGAAAGAAAATTGCGGGTTTAAGGCCCGATCAAATCAGGCAATTGCCAAAGGAAGAATTAGATTTGCCTGTATCCGCTGCTGATTTCGACGAAGCCGTTGAGAGATGTAACAAAAGCGTTTCCCAAGAAGACTTAGAAAAATATGAGAAATGGATGAGCGAATTCGGTTCTTCTTGATATCATTCCCTCAAGAAGTAATAACATAGTTCATTAACATGTTTGTTGATCCTGATTACAATTAATATTACAATATTATTTTGTTTAATATAAACGGGGAGCTTCTTAATCCTTTGCAACTCCTAATGACTAGTTCTCTATACTTGAGACTTGAGGAAAATCAAATCAAATTGGAAAATAAGACTGTATGATAGGAATAATGAGATAAAAGTAGTATTGCTAATCTCAACTGTAACACTGAAGACTTAACTGGCAGTAATTAAGTAGTCATAAATAACTTTTATAGTCAATAATATATTCCATTAAGTCTAAATGTAAATCTGTTCATATTAATACAATTGAAACAATATTTCTGGAATTATTGATATTTTGTATATACACCTTCAGCCTTTCTTTGGAGCACAACCTTCTTTCCGTAAATTTCTTGTTTCGTCATCTATATTTTTTGAATCTTTTGGTGCTTTGTAATTAGAAACGTGATCTACTCGTATTACTCTACCTAATATCTGTAATAAAAAAACGAATTTTTATTACATTTCAAATAGTTATAATTTTGTATTCTTTAGATGTTGCAAGCAATTACATAATTTATAGATACAAAATTTTACCATACACAAAAATGAAATATAACTATATTACAAAGAGACAATTATATTGCTATCCCAGTAAAACGTATATACCTTTACGCCATTGAAATTGTCGACTGCCAATATAGTGCTCCTCTGATCTTCATAACATAAGAAACCATAACCCTTTTGCTTTCCAGTATCTTTATCTCTGATTAAGTTTATATTAACTACTTCCCCGTATCTGTAATGATATTTTATATTTAATATGAAACTCCAGTTGTGTTTGGAATTATAATTACGACTCACACATTTACTGTTTAACTTACTGAGAGAAAATGGCAATAACATCACCTTCCGTTAAATCATATGGAAGGCCACCGACAAAAATCCAAGCACTATCTTTATACTGGTCGTGCCAAGATGATTTGTTCCTCCCTTGTAATTCTTGTTCATTGAGCTTCTTTATATTTTTGACATTACTAAAAGCACAGATCAGTCATAGTACAGATCAGTCAAAGGTATGAACCTTTTATTTCATAAAATAGAAATTCGTGTATGTCAAGCTAAAAATTAGATAATAAAACAAGAAATGTTTGATTAATCATATTATTAAATAAGATTATTTTAATCCAATTATTAAGTTAACTAATCAAATATATTTTTTACTATTCGCGTAATTTTCTTAACCAATAAATGAATTGAAAATACGTACGTCAAAGGATTCATTGCACCTAACAATGGAAAATCTTACGAAGTTATACATAAATATACCATAAACTTTAATCAGGAAGAATATTGTAAAACGCTTAAAAATATTCGAAAGATACTAGAGAAAAACTATGATAAAATTAGATTTGTTTATTCGTGTTTATAATTTTTTTTCTTTTTAGATTGACTTTAAGCCGCTATTTCAATTCTTCGACCGACCTATCCTATGGAAGATACTGATTGGATGTCGATGATCACAAGTCTCTCAACTGATTCAACTGAGGCTGCGGTCAAAGTCTCACTACAAATGCTTTGAATCTTTTGTTTGATTGACCAATTAGAAAAAAGAATTTTACAAATTGACCAATCAAAAATTGCTTTAAAGCATTTGTAGCATTGCGTTGACCGTACCCCATCGACATCTAG